AGGCCCATAAGGGATTAGCCTTGTCAAGGAAGAAGTTTACCCTTTCGTGGAGACTAAAGAAGGGGAGGATGGGGGATGACGCAAATGAGCTTTGAGATACAAAATTATCATTTCTGAGATAGGCAGCTGCAAACCTTGGCAACCAGAAGGCACCCAGCATTGCTTTGGACAGCAGTAGCCAGAGCCAAATGACCCACATTCCCTGGTGTGATAAAGACTTTTATACAGGGAAACAAACAACTCACAAAATAATTCAGGACATTATGTTACCAAAGTTTCAGAACAGAAAACTAGATATGTCCCCTCTAATTCGTTAGCATCTCAGTTTTAGAGTTGATAAGGACGTTAGAGATTATGGTCTTTATTTTACAGAAGAGGAAAATGAGGCCCAGGCAAATTCTTAAGTTTCAAGAAACAGGATTTGAACCCCGGTTCTCTGACTCCAAATCCAGATAAAAAGAAGCACCGAGTTGGAAGGGACCCAAAAGGCCATTTGGTCCAAACCATTACTAACCAAGATTTCTCTCCACAACATAACCTGACAGGTAGACATTCTGTCTTTACTTTAATGTCTCCAGTAAGGAAGAACCCACTATCTTTCAAGGCAGCCCATTACACTTCTGGAAAGTTTTAATCATTAGGAATTTTTTCCTAATATCAAACCTACATTTTTCTTTTGCTACTTTCACCCATGGCTCCCAGTTCTCCATCCCACCCCACTCCCCAAGTAGGACAAAGCTAATTCCTCTTATGTGGGATTTATATGCTTAAACATAACTTTTATTTCCCGCTCCCTTATCCAAATTCAACAGAAATTCTAGGGAATCTGAGCCTGCACAGAGAAAGGAACAGGAGAGAAAAGAAATAGCAAATATCTAGGGAATATAGATGGAGGAAGGGGTCTGTGGGTAAACTGGCTTGGAGGTCAGAAGAAGGATTCTAGCCAAACCACCTGCCAAGGCATCAGATTTAAAAGCCCCGATTCCTGGTAAAGTCATAAGATACTTCCCCCTTCCCCTCTAAGCAACACACACACACACACACACACACACACACACACACACACACACACACACACACAC